GTTAGAGTTGGCAGAAATTTCAGACGCATTGCTTCTGCAGTTAGAGTAGGGATTGGAGCCAGCTGCAGTTCAGAAACACCAATTTGTGAATGTGAGGGTTGAGTTCTTTTGTTGGTAGGCAGGTAGCTAACATTGCTTGTAAGTATCAGATGATACATCATAGCTGCATAGCGATGATTCAAGTCCAATGAGCTATCTTTTAAACACTTTGTAGCTAGAAAATTGGACAGAAGCGGACTCTATCCACCATAAAAAGGATAGCAACATAGCAATAATTCAATTCGAATAAGCAATCATATGACACGGTTGTTGTTGTTTTGCTATATACTTTTTATTTCAAGAATATACTTAGTTTCATGACTCATGTTTTAGGTTAATGGCTGCAAAACATTTCAGGACATTGCAAAGCATTTAATGTCCGAGGAGCACAAATCAGCAAACTAGAGGAACTATGTTCAGCTTTGAGCTCGAATTCATGTTTTTCTAAAAAAAATTCAGTGTTCCATGCATTTGGCTGTGCTCGCGTTTCAATAGAAGATCATTGTATGTTGTACTGAGAAAGGCACCATCTATTATATAGGCGACTAAAATTTGCACATGTCCGTGCTCCTGTTTGGCGCTTGGATAAAAAATATGATGACCTGATTTGAAAATTTTGATCTGTCATATGAGCCGATGCTTGGTATGATGTTGTTTGTGTTCTAGTTTGCCCGATCTATGCTAGGTCCAGCAAATGGTTCATTTTTCAAGCAGATGCTAATGCTGGTGGCCGGCAGACGCGAGCAGTGCACGACTAGTAGCTACGAGCGCAAACTTTTTTTTATCCAAACAGCATTTTCCAGGTGCAAAAGAAGTCAATGGTATTCTTGTGGACAGAAAATTACAAGTAGAAGCTACTCATACAAGTGTAAAAAATCACAAAGCAGACAAACAGGACCTAATTGTTTCTTATTCCCAACCCATTGACAACACTACGAAATTCACATACATAACTACATAAGCATCATTGCCACTTATTGTATTATTCTCTTTTTGAGCCTAGGCCAAACTCTCTACTTCTTTACTAATATAATTCTGGCAAAACTCTTGTCAGATTTACGTTTAAAAAAGAGCACAAATTCCAATGTAAAATCGCTTCTCTTGAGACACCATTAATCCATAAACCCAGAAAAGAAAAAAAATGATCCTGCCCACGTAGTTCAGGAGTAGCATATCAAACATTACCAAAACCAAATTATCCTAGGCTGCCAATTTCAGGAACGAATCTTACCGACGGAAGAGGCTAGAGAAGGATCGCGTGGATCGGCGCCGTCACTGCGTCTTCCTCCGGGGTGGTTGCTTCTCGCAGGCCAGCTTGTACATCCAGAACACCTGCAGCCAGAGTGAAGAGGGGTGATAAGTCCGGATCTGAGCGGGATCAAATCGACAAAGCGTGTACCGTGTAGGCGCGGGGGAACGAAAAAGAAGAAGAAAAGCGAGTGGGAAGCGCACGAGGGCCAGGACGTGGGCCGCGAGGAGGATGACCACGAAGAGCGGCACGGCATCTAGGACGCCCGAGCCAGCGGTTGGCTGCATCTGCTGCTGCGCCATCGTCGGCGGCGTTGGGGGAGAGGTCGCTGATGACAGAGGTTTCTTCTAGTTTCTCCTGTTCTTTCACGCCGAGCAAAAACCTCCTGTAACTCTGTAAGTTACTTGTAGAGGATGTTACAAAACTTGAACAAAATTGTGGCTGTAGTTTAGTGGTAAGAATTCTACGTTGTGGCCGTAGAGACCTGGGCTCGAATCCCAGCAGCCACATTCTTCCTTTTTTTATTCTCGCAATCTTTTTTATATATTTGTCGTTGTTTTTAATCTTTTCTTTTGTTTTCTTCTTTATACTATTTTTTTGTTATATGTTTGTCTGTATTGCATTCTTTTTAATATATTGTCGTTGTCATGTTATTTTTAATCTTTTTTTTTTGTGTTCTTCTTTATACTATTTTAAGTTTTTTGTGTGTCGCAACTTTTTTACTTTGTTTTCGCTAGTAGTCGTTTTTCTATTACATTATATGTTTGCCATCATTGTACTTTTTTAGTTTTTGTTTTGTTTTCTTGGTTTCTATTCTCACAATATTTCGTATAGGCAATATTTCTTATATGTTTGTCATTGTCACATTATTTTAATTTTTCTTATGTTTTGTTCTTTATACTTTTTTAAGTTTTTGTGTTCATAACTTTTTACTTTGTCAATCTCGGTATTTGTGCTCCTAACTTTTTTTAGTGTTTTTATTTTTCAGGTTCCTAACCTTTTAGCAGTATTTTATTTTTATGATATGTTTCTATGATCACAATCTTCTTTTTTGAATTTCATTTTTTTTGTATATGTGTTTTGTTTTCTACGCTTTAACTTTTTTTCATGCCTCTGTACTTACGTCCCTAATTTTTCTATCTTTTTTTTTGTTGATTTTTTGTTGACGTCGATTTGAGTCACATGTTAGCAAGTGCTAGTACGCTCGAGGCCACACACAATCTAGCACGTAGCCGATCTGACGCCCATTCTTCAGCTCATAAGCTCCTCAACACCTTTGGAAAAGACGCATCGGGGAGGGACACGACGATATTGCTCTAGGATCAGCTAGGCCGCCTGAGCGCCAACAAATCTCACCGAGAGACGCGCCGGACAACAATCATCGAAACCATCCTCCTGCCACCGCCATTAGAAAAACACGATTAAGCCGACGGAGCTCTTCGTGAGACTAGGTATGTACATGAAAATCGATGTCGTTTGTTCCCTATCCCTATAGTTTAATTTTTTCTGATTTGTGTTGCAGATTCTCCATGGAACGTCGGTGGATCGGACTTGCTAGCTGGAGATCAAACTACACATCGGGTCGTAGCAGTTCAAATCCACGACAGGTGGTTGTTGTCCGTGGGATTTTGTTTTTGCTCATCATGGCCCGTGTGAATGCGCTCAGGCGACAGCTGCACCGATCCACCAGATGAAAATCTACCGTCAGGAGAGCCGCTGGCCTCGGTAGGCTTCTAGCCTGGCCACGTCGCCGAAAAAAAACCTGTTGGGCGCTAGATCTAGAGCGAGTGGTTGGGAGCCCCGTCATACACCCCGGCCTGTCGTGAGCCCATGCGTGCACATTGGATACGGTTTAGCAAAACTGAAAATATATTATCTTTATTTTTATTTAATTACACACAACAAAATTGAATACAGATATTAGATAAATTTAGTATAAAATGTACTTTATATAAACCAATATTTTCAGATACAAGCAAACCTGTCCATGTGTTGGAATGGAACGATACAATTATTACACAGTCACTAGATGACTTAGAGCTCAGAGATTTATACAACAATCTTGTCATTAGTTGTAATATGTCATAAAATTAGACTTCGTACCCTGATTATACACACGTTATTCATAACATAATCTCATGCTAGATTTCAGATTGTGCTTGCTTTGGTTTGGAAACATGGTCTGATATTAGATTTCGATTGTAAACATGTGGACAGTAAGAGCAACTTCAATGGTGACTTATGAGGTGTCTTTAAACCTATTATTTCATATTCTAATAGAACAGAGACAAAAATTATCTCTTGATCTTAAGAATGCTTCAGAACACTTTGGTAAAATGGCTTCAGCCATGGAGCATGAAGCCAAGATCCAAGAGGAGTCTAGGAGTCCAGACTCAAAAAAAAAAAAAAGATCCAAGAGGAGGTAATACACAAGGATCCAATCAAACTCTTCAAGAAAAGTCTATTACTAAGTTGAGTACGTTTGGTTTCACTGGCACCGAACTTGTCAAAGCTAGTCAAAGCTACAAGTGTATTAGTGAATGTCCCAATCAGATGACTATGTTGTTTGCACTTCCAAAGACTTTAAGGAGGGAATTCATATGGAACATGCATGCTGGTAAGTTGTTCATAATGACCTTTCCATTCTCATGTTCCTCTAATTTATGTATGTTATCCTTGTGGAGCATTTTTTTTTTAGCAAATTTCTCTAGAATAGTGTGAGTTAGCTGAATATTAATCTTGTTGATAGAAATTTCCAAATGTAGAGCCTATTCTTTTGATAAACTAGTTGTATCCCTAGAGTAAACTTGTACTCAACTTATACAAATGTAGTGACAATGTTGTGCTACTAGCTAGAAGTCTATTTTTCTCATCATGGATAGCTCTGTTTTCCTAAAGATTTTTTATTTTTTCTTTATTATCCTAACATGGAAAAAGAAGTTCTGTTTATCTAAAGATTTTTTATTTTTTCTTTATTATGCTAACATGGAAAAGCGATCTGTGCTTAAGTTTTTTTTTCATTTATTAGATGATGCTCAAAAGAAGAAGTGAAGGATTTGCTGGTTGCTGCTAGCTGTAACAATTTAATAAGCCAATGTTGATTTGGGAAGCACTTGAAAATCGGAGAGATAGCATCTTGTAATTTAGATTTTTCTAAAACTGTCACCGTGCATAATGCATTTTAAAAGTGTACTAGTTATAAGGTTGGTCCCAATTAGTTGAGATTTTTGAACTATTTACCTTTTAATTTTTATTATGATTTATGGATAAGTCACACGTGATTTGTATTGTCTTCTTCTTTGTAATATGCCTTTACTTATTGGCCCCCCATTTCTCGCCATTTGAAAAAATAAGCAAAAAGCACCGTTCCGGTTGAGAGAAAAACACTGTTTTATTAATAAAAAATAGTTCGAAACATCTTATTTTATTGTTCTCACTAATGGTTACTTATGTCAACAACCAAACGCTGTAATGAGAGTGGAAAGCGTTGCCCACTGCAACCAAACAGATGCTGTAAATAATTGCTATGGGTCTGAATGGGTTTCATTAGCGTTCCCTTCCGCTTTGCTAAACCAAACAGCAAGTTCGTTTAAAATATGTTTATGAAGTTTTAAATTCGTATTCACAGTATTTTAGAAACAGATGCCGGACGCGGTTGTGGCGACAAACTTTTTTAGCCTGCTCTGTCTCCGCCGTCCAGGACAACTCAGAAATGCTGCCGCCCTTGGCCACCGTCCTCCCCGCCGCCGCCTCCCGCTGTCCTATCCGCAGCGTTATCTCAGCAAGAACCTGCCGCTCCACCGCCGTCCGTCGCCCACCCTATCCAAGTTGCTGCCACCGCGGCCGCGGCAAGAAACCCAGCCCCGGACCCACAGCGCCATCGTTGTTCCCGCTCCCGGAGGGCTCCATCACGCCGTGGCTGCTGCGGTGCCTCCGTGCGCTCGCTGTTGCCACACTAGCGGTCGCATTTTCAGCCCCGTCGCTTCTCCAGGCTGCCCCCGCCTCCTCGGTCGGTGAGCGTTCACCGCTGGACGCCACCGCGTACGACTGTGAAGATGTCGGGCGTTACTACGCGGGCTTGGACGGCCGCACTGGCGACGAGCTAAGGACGGAGCTCGCCGCCGTCGTCTCGCCCCACGCCGCTCTGCGCTACAAAGATGTCAGTTTCCTTGTAGCCTGGCTATCAATTAGCTATCGTGTTTCTTTATTAATTTGGTGCGAATTTTGGCTCGAATCATGAAAGAACAATGTGACAAAGCTAGAATTTATATCCTTCTTTTATAGGTGTGGGAGGCGCTTAAGATTCTCGATGCAGCTGATGCAGAACACCCTGAGGCGTCCTCGGAAGTGTATGGTGTTCTTTAATTCTTAAAAGAAAACAACTTATGGGTACTACTGTTCTTTTGCTTATGCAGCATTGGCACTTGGTTTCCATATTGTGTGTTGATTTTTCTTGTAGGATTGAGATATACTCACAGAGAGCTGTGTCAAAGCTCTTAGCAGGAAAACCAGATGGATGGAACAGTGAGTGACTTCTGTGACATTAAGCAAACTCAGTCTAGAGAAGGGATGGATGCTCACTTTTCTTTGGGTTTTTCTTTCGCAACAATGTTGTGCATTTTACTGTGCAGGGGAGCACCTCTGGCCTAGATCGTATGGCCTAACCTATGGTCCATCACTAACAGATCTTCACAACATACGTCCTGCAGATGTCAATGGTTAGTTTTATTAGAGTGAAATGCATGAGTGGTTCCTGAACTTGTCAAAGGGTGCCACTTAGGCCCACGAACTTTGAAAACGTATTTCTAGGTCCCTAAACTTGTTAAGTGGTGCACCACAGTGGTCGGTATGGTCCAGAAATGGACTTGTGGTGCACCATTTTACAAGTTTAGGGGTGTGAGGTGCACCACTTAGCAAGTTTAGGGACCCAGAACTATGTTTTCAAAGTTTGTGGACCTAAGTGGCATCCCTTGATAAGTTCGGGCCCACTCATGTATTTAACTATTATGTTTTTGCTATCTGATACTTCTCAGTGGCCATTCGTTTCCATCATTAGTAACAGAATACATGTTTTACTCATCTCAATCATTTGCAAATTGGCCAATTGGCATATCATGGAAACAACTCAAGGCCAGGTTTTTATTTGTTTTCAAGTGAAATATTTACTGGCTATCTGAATTTATGGTTTATATTCGCAAAGAACGGAACTCTATGTTTATGTTGAATGGAATAGCACAGTATAGAATTTTGATTACCTTGTCAAAAATTTAAATCCTGTTTTCAGTAAATTCTTCACGGGGAAACAAATATTATGGAGAATGTAGTGCCACATCAGTAAGATGTGTGAGGCCAGCAAATCAGGAAGCAGCACCTGACACTGAGACGGACACTGAAAAATGGGCACCTCCTTTTCAGGTTCAGAAGCCATTTATTTGGAGTAAGGATGTCTTATTATTGATGTTATTGAAAAAGGTCACTACACATGCAGTGCTTTTTCTTGCACCAAGTGATATCTCTCGTGGAATATCATGGTATGCTGATATTTGAATTGGAAACAACAAATACTGATGCAGGAACTGTATCTTGTTTGATCCCATGAGGCCATGAGACATATTTGCAGTTAGAAATATGTGTGTGTGTGTGTGTGTGTGTGTGTATTTATATATATATTCCCTTCATAACGTGTCAATTAGTATTAGGAAATGTTTAGAATTGCTGCAATCATGCCAGTGCAAGTTGAATAGTTAACCAAAACCAGTCTTAGTTGCTTCCATATGCTAAGGTAGTTATTCCTTTTAAGCTTCTTTGCTAATTTTTGGCACTAAAATGTTTTCCAATTTGTTGTCTTTAGGTGCGTGGAGATATAGCTAGGTCCCTTATGTACATGGCGGTAAGCTATGGATCTAGCCAGAATGATGGAACTCCACATTTGGAAATTTCTGAGTCACCAAATATTCGTAAGTACTTTGTCCAAACTCCAAAGGAGAGATATTCATGATATAGCTTTTAACTTTAACTACTCGACACAAAATTCTAGTAATTGGTAGACATCTCTTGGAAAATATAGTGCTTTATATTATCTTGTGATAACAGTATTGCACTAAGGACATCAATACTCAAGTTGCTTGCATGGTCACACCTTAATTATATTAATACTTAAATCAAAATGTTTTTTTGGTTCTTTTAATTATATCAAATTTCTGCTTCTTGTTTAAGAAATAAGAAAGATGGGCCTACTATCAGCTATACTACGGTGGAATGAACTTGATCCACCATCAAGATCTGAGCAGCTTAGGAATGACAGGGTTTGCAGCCTTTACCAGCATAATCGAAATCCTTTTGTCGATCATCCAGAATTTGCAAATCTTATATGGACGAACCCTCTAACAGAAACTTCAACTTTCATTGGGGAATCACAGCAATCTTGGGTCAATGAGTTCCACTATGAAAATAAAGGCAAAGATAAGAATGAGGTATAACATCTACAAATCACTATATTTTTCTCTAGTATCCATTTTCTATGGTTTGCTTATATCACCAAGGAATTGACTTGCATACACTATTACATGTTACACACTTGCAGTTGCCTATCATTTATATGATGAAATATGTTTTATTTTCTCGAACACGCAAGAGAGCTGCTTGTCATTATATTAAGAAGAAAAAATGGGACAAGAAATAACTCAAAGTGTCTAAAAACAACTTCAGGAAAATTTGATGTATTGAACATTTGAGACATGGCAGTTAAATGACATGTCATGTCATGATGGTTATTTGTTAGGTGAGATTTCCATTTTTATGTTAGTCAAACTCTTGTCTAGCTGCAACCATGTGAACTCTGGATATACCATTAGATGAATGTGTGGATTAAATTTGGGAAATCTTAGGAAGGTGGGACTAACTTTGTTACTCCTCGAATGCCACTTTCTTTTCGTTTAACACCATTACAAAACATTTCTCTTCATAATTACTGTCCAGACATTCTCATCATAACAGCAATGTTTGGGCAAGTTTGTTATTTTGTTTCCATCTTGAGTAATTTGGAATGGCAGTTATCAAACTTATTCATCATGCGCAGTTAGGTTTCCATTCTTAGAGACTAAAGTAATGGGACACTCAAATTTGTTAAGTGGCTCATTGCAGCTTACTGGCTCGCCAGCATGCCCTAACCCAGGGTGCTGTGGACACTTAGGTGCTGCCATGGTGGCATGTGCATCCACCTAACCTTCATTTTACCTTTTGCATTGAACCCTTAATACTTCTTTTATTTTTAGTGCCGTCATGTTTGATTATTATGGGTCTTTTGAGCTCCATTACAAATGCATTCTGGCCATCTGATCATGAGGGTGGTGAAAATCTAGTAAGACAGGAGATTGTGAGTGAGGCTTGAGATCTATCATACACAATCTCTCTTCTCAAACATCATCACCTTAAGTGCCACCATCATTACAATTATGGTCACACAATTCACAACTAACTAGTAAATAACTGGTCTATAGAAGGAAGTTCTGGGTGTTTCAATAGGTCAAGCTGAGAACAATGCCACTATGGCTGTGTTTAATAATTGATCTCTGTGGACTAATGGTGTGTTTTCAAGCCAATGATCTTTATTGAACCAATTATGAATTAACAAAGCTCAGATCAGTAACCCACTTCCATGTGAGGAACAACTTGTTGACCTCCAATGCAATTTGCTTTGGATACTCTTAGCTTTCTGTGTAATTATCATCCACTATATTTTGGTTGTAAAATTGGTGCTCCAATGTTTAGAAACTCCTAGTACATATAAGAGACCCCTCACAAATTCACTGGTTCCGAACTTCTATTCCCTTCTTCACAATCTAAAGCTTACATGCGTTGCCTATTTGTGCAGTTTGTTGAGTTAGTGGTACGTATGCCTTTTGATGCGAAGGAACTCATGCTCGTACTCTATAATGGAGCAAATGGGAAAATGTATCGCTCTCTTAATCTAGCAGACAAGGAAGCCTTCACTGTGACAGAAATCAGCTCTGATTATCTGTTATACACTGTTTGTACCCCTCTCTAAAATGGACCAGCAGATGGCATAGCTCTTGTCTACTATAGATATAATAGGGAAGCTGAAGTATTGCAATTTTTGTCCTATGAAGGGAGCATGAGAGCACAGGATGGACCTGCCAAGGGTATGGTCTCCACAGATATCATGCTCAAGGAGACCGATGAGTCATCCGACCAAGATTCGCTGGGACTTGGTGGTCAGAAAATTGGTGAGTTTGCATGGAGAAAGATGGTAGGGAATGCAACACCTGGGAAGCTGAATGCTGAACAGACGTTTTAGTGCAATTTGTCATCTCTAAGCTTCCACTGGAAACCCTGAAATTGAAAGAGGTGTCAGACAAACTTTTCCATGATATGGGTTGAGTCCATAACAGTACAGATGAAGGTTGTGAAAGTTTGCTGAGGGTCAAGGAGAATATCATACTTATGTTGGAATTGACATTTTTTCTCAAATACGCAAGAGAGCTGCACATCAATATATTAAGAAGAAGAAAAGGGTTTTGAACCCATACAATATTCCTTTATTTGAGGTTCTGGAAATAAAAGACTACTTAGCAAATTGAACTTCAGTATGCTTCATGCATGAGACTACTACCCTGGAGGTGCTATGGAAATATTGACGTTTGAGTTCCAACTTTGTGAATGGACTAGAAGGCTAAGGGTGTTTTTTTGCATTAACGGATTAGTGATGCCGCTTAAAAGGATAGGAACAGGGTGGAATTAACAGCAGAGAGAAGATTATTCATTTAGACTGCAGCTTTGACATATTTTCCTCGGATTTGGAAGTGAATGAGTTTGTTTTACTGATTGCCCACCTTTATATTTGCCAAAACCTTTTGGGTTGGTTTCATGTATGAACCAGTGGTTTGGTAAATTCTGGTTTCTGTATATGATATACCACTGTGCTCTGTTGTTCATGTCTGAAGCAACGAATATAAAGGCTTACCTCGACCTTCTCTCTTCCTTAGTTCGGTGCAGTGCCTTCATACTGATACTGTACATGGAACAGGTGTGCCCAATATGTCTGGAACGTGGCTACATGGAAGACCCAGCTATGGGACTACAAATTTGGGGAAGGACTTATCTTTTATGTTGGGCTGTATGGTTGTCAACCATTGCGAAAGTCAGTTTTTTCTCCCTCAACTCTAAAACTAGAAATAGTTCCTCCCTCATCTCTCGAAAACAGGTCACTTGACCTCCATGGCTGTTTCATTTTGTGGTTTTTCTTTTTTTTTTTCTTTTTTTTTATTTTGGCTGAATCTTTAAAAAATCATAGTAAATCACAGAAAAATCATAAAATGAAAAATCCATTTGTGTTGGACTCAACATAATTAGATCTACACAGTGAACATACGACATATTATGCTTTAGCACAAAGTTTCTATTGTAACTTTAGATCTATATCTTTCTATAATTAATTCATAGTTGTGGTTTCTCTCGTACAATTGTGATGAAATTTTATGGTGGACTAATCATTACATGCTTGAGCTATAGTAAATGTTTAATGCTCACTGGATCACATGTGATTGAATTATAGATTTATCTAGGTTTATGTTTGTTAAATAGTTTTAAAATGAAATTAAATCTATAACTCAGTCATACATGACCTAATGAGCATGAAATTATTGTTGGACTCCATATGAGTAGATCTACACAGTTAACATATGATATGGTATGTTTTAGTATAAAGTTTTTGTTGTAGCTTTAGATCTAAACTTTTCTGTAATTAATTCATAGCCATCGTTTCTGTTATCTAATTATGGTGAAATTTTTACGGTGGGATAATCATTGAATGCTTGAGATGTATCAAAAAATTCATGCTCATTGGATCATGTATGACTGAGTTATAGTTTTATCTGGATAAACCTAGATAAATCAATAGATAATAAGTTAGTCATATATGATCCAATGAGCATGATTTTTTTTTCTACATATCAAGCATGAAATGATTAATCTATCATAAAAATTTCACCTTAATTGGACCAGAGAAACTATAGCTATGAATTAATTATAGAAAAACATAGATATAAAGTTACAGGAAAACTTTATTTTAAAGAATACCCTATCATATGTTCATTGTGTAAATCTACTCATGTAGAGTCTAACACAACTGAATTTTTTATTTTATGATTTTTCTGTGATTTACTATATTTTTAAAGATTCAACTGAAATAAGCATAAAAAAAGGAAAAGGGAAAAAGCCACGATCGGTTTTGAGAGATGAGGAAGAAATTATTTCTAATTTTAGAGTTGAGGAAGGAAAAGGTGACTTTCACGAAAGTTAAGGGAGACAAAATAGACTTTTTCCTTTTTCCGGGTTTGAGTCGCGGTCTCCTTGCATTGCACAGGCGAGGGTAAGGCTTGCCAATGACATCCTTCTCCAGACCCCGCACAGAGCGGGAGCTCTTTGCACTGGGTACGTCCTTTTATACATATTTTCTTCGGAGGTAGGCATTAAATAGTATGGGCTTTTCAGAAAAAAAAGAGGAAATGGGTATGAGCTTTGTTACAGAAAAGAGAGTGCGCAGGCGAGGACGAATCAAGCAAATGCCAAACTTTGAGAATGATGTTCAAAGGTATCTTCGCCGGACATGCATGTATGCTCGTTATCCTTCGCAGGGTTGTCTACTGTCTTTTTTTTTGAATTTTTTTTATTCCGGCCTCTGCTTAAGTTACGCACTTAGCCATCCGTTATTACAAGTCCAGTCTCTGGTTGAAAAAAGCAAGCTCTCAAAGAGCAGGCAGTACAATGCAATAAAATCATGCATGTATGCTTGTTGAAGATCTATCTCTAACATACATGCGGTGTGTGCCCACTTTTGAGTTGGCTTGTCGTTCTCCTTCTAAAGGATGGACCAAAAGCGTGTCCAATACATGGCCCTAAAAATAACCTACAAGTAAGAATAAATCCTCTTTTTATCAAAACTACACTATTTCGGCTCAACCAAATTGACCAAATATTGCACTTATTCCCACGCAAACTTGGGATCACAATTTAGAGTCTACTTGTCTTTGCCAAGGCCTAAAAAAAATCTTTTGTGTTTCTTGGTGGTCGTAAACCAAAAGTAACCTGAACCACTCTCAAACAAAAATGTGCCACATGACAATAAAAAACAAGATTATTGTCTCAAACAAGATGTTGTTATTGTCATGTGGCACATCTTGTTACAAAAACAACATCTTTCAACACCTTTCCAATTCTTCTTGATAAAATAATCTTTAGTCAAACTGCCTCTTTCATAAAGAACCAAATGAAAATCTTAATTTTAAACAACAATTTTAACTTCCAACTGGCCTTATGAATAGGAAGCACAATTTAGTTTACTAAATGTTTTTACATTGACTGTACTGTAAAAGAACCTTTGTTATTGAGATTCCATTTAATCAAATCTTGTTGGTCATCTAATTGCACAAATGCTACTTTTGCGCCCAACACATTCCATTTTGCTAGCTTATCACCAATGAGTGCTCTACGGAACATAAGATTAAGTGGTCCAAAACTAAGACTTGAGCAACCGAAACCTGCTTTTTGCTAGCGATATTATAAAGAGATGAAGTGTACGTCTCATTTTTTGAGTAGTCAACCATCTTAAATTTTGATCAAATATATACAAAAGGTAATAATATTTATGGTATCGAATAAGTATCTAACAAATATATACATATGTTACAATTGCACATATGGTTTATAGTTTGGTGCGGTTACCTGGATGACTCGAGATTGGAGATTTACGTAAAAGTCACGCCATCTTCCAATACGTCTTGAAATCAAATTTCATATCGTGTCATCGGTTTCAATATATTTTTAGAATTGGCTTCTGCATTGTGGGGCTAGACATGTGTTTTTCTGACACATATGAACATGAGTCGTGACTCCTGAGTCTAGGTCATTGATGGGTGCCTAAGGACATTATGGAAAATAAAAGAAGTCAGATAGAAAAACTATTTCAACTTTTAATATTGGCAACGTATCATGTGAAAACCAACTAATCTGTGCAAAATTGGAAACTACCGATCAGGATCACTAGATACTGATCCAATGAATGAGGTGAGAGGTGTGATTTTTTTGCGCTTAAACCCCCCACCCGCTGGCCTTTTTTTTTGCGCTTAAGCCCCCTCACCCCATCCATTGGATCAACATCTGGTGATCCTGATTGGTAGTTTCCAAGTTTACACAGGTTAGTTGATTTGCACCTGATATGTTGCCTTTAATATTAGGTATAGATATAAATTTTAGATTAATGATGTAACATATTTTCATAGTTTTATAAACCTATTTAAAGATACAAATGGTTATTTTCTATAAATCTAATTACACTTAAATTGGTTGTCTCCTTTAAAAATAAGACGTGCCCTCTTTAAGGTACGGAGAGTACTTAGTTTATGGCTGCATTCATAAAACTACTTCTAATCTAAATTATAAAAACATACTCTTTTGTCTACGAAACAGGGGCAGGACACAGAGCTGCGATTCCGTCGAGAATAGAGGTCAGATCAGATGCTTTCTCAGCACAAGGGGAATGAGCCCCACGATGACCAGTGTTTTTTTGGATTTGTTTGACTTATAAATCGTATTTTTTTAAGTTAACGAACAATATTTTTCTCTCACATTAAATCAGCCAACAATACTTTCAGCCATAGTTTATCAACCAAACAAGACTAAACAAACAGAGTACACAATGGCTTGCCATACCAGTATACCACAAGTATACTCCGTACATTGCCTTGGTAAACTCATGTGATGTGACTTGTGACAGAGTCACACGGTATACATACATGAGGGTGTTTGGTCTTTAGTCGCTTCTAAAATTCATGTTACATCGAATATGTAAGTACTAATAAAGAATATTAAATATAGATTAATTACAAAACCAATTACATAGATATAGGTTAATTTACGAGACGTTTTTTAAACCTAATTAATCTGTCATTAGTACATGTTTACTATACCACCACGTTGTCAAATCATGAACTAATTAAGCTTAAAAGATTCGCCTCGTAAATTAATCATAAGTTGTATAATTAATTTTATAATTAGTCTATATTTAATACTAATGTATATGTCTAAACATTTTAGGAGATCCTGTAGAAAACAAACAGGGCCACAGAATACAATCTCTTGTCAAACATGCAACATGTGCAGCAGGGTACACGCGTGCCAGCAACAAAGTAGTTCATAGACAGGCACGCATGTAACCGTGCCCGGCTGCCCGCCGTTAATAGGCTCGAAAAGCCAAAACGGCGGATCCGTTGCCCGGCCGTCTAGAATAGCGTTGTGCCCTCCTCCACACACCTTGAATCATCAATGGAGGCCAGGGACGTCTCTGCTCACTATTTATGGACCGCCCACCGAATACAGCCAACGGAAGCACAAGGGCCAACATTCACAAAATCTTTTCAGCCAGTGCCCTTCCTCGGACTATTTCAATACAGCAACCGCCTAGATTCTCCAGGTGAAGGAGGCAGGCCATAAAAAGTGGGCACATCAATGCAAGCATTCTCCTTCCTTCTCTATTCCATTGCTGACCATGATTGCAGAGATTGATCAGCTTTTGGAGTCCGTGTGAACAGCTCGGAGGTCAGCCGAGGTATGCCTCTTTCTTGGCAGAATGGCAGCATAGTTTGGATCCGTGTGGTTGCAATGTTCTCTCGGCTGTTGCATCTGAAAAGCGCAGTTGATAGGTGTGAATAGGCATGCATGATGTGTGATGCATGGAAAACAAATAAAATAAACAGTTAATTAATGAGTGCCCCTTCTAAAAAGTATTATGTTGTTTCAAATGATTATCAGCATAATTTTACCTTGAACCATGCCATTTCCTTTCTATTCATCCTCCGTTTGCGCTTTGCGGTCAATATTCCACAATTATTTGCCTTCTCTCTTAGATGAAACTGCACAGAAAAGGGCATAATCATTCATAACGTGTTGAATTGCTAGTCAAGCCCAATTATTGTATACATTATATACAATGCCAAACTAGTACTTTTTTCTGATGATGGCATAAAAATGGTTGCAGTTTATAACCCAGAGGAAGAGAGGACTAAGAGCATCATTAATTTGTGCATTTTGTTTTTGTTGGCAGAATAGCTCATAGGCAATGGCAACATCAAGGAGGGACCCTCAGCAGAATGCTAGAGTCAACCGGGGCATTCAGAATATGTCCCCAGGGCTCAAACCCAGTGAGTCTGACCAAGGGCTACGGCGTGCAAGATCCGTCCCAACCTCTCCTGATCGCAGATTATCCCCATCCCCCGCCTCAATCTCATCCAACACCTGTCGACCCGCATCATCATTCAACGCTCGCACGACCTCATCCCGGTCCACATCTAGCTCAGCCTCTTCCAGTCACGGAAAGACACTGCACTCCGCTTCGTCCATGGCTGGTGCAAGGCAAACAAACACAATGAGAAGAAAAGCAGAAAAGCCTGGTGCCACATCTGTTTGGCCTCCAGCCCTTGCAGCTCCAAACACCTCATCTAAGGATATGACCAGGGCAGCAAAATCACCATCCACCATGCAGAAGAGTAATAATCTCTCTACAAGGCCTGGTATTGAGAAGGCAGCAGCATCTTCTGTAAAGCCGAAATCTCAGAAAACAACCGCAGGACCTCTTGGAGCTGGAAAAACTCAAGCTGCATCTTCCACTCGTGCTCCTGGCGCTATAACAAAGAAAAGAATGGGAGCGAGAAATATGTCTCTATCCAGAGGACAACAAGTGTGCCAAGCGAGACAAAAGAGACACCAAAAATCGAGGAACAAGATGCTGAGCTGTTGATGGAATTTGATGAGACAGAGAGCATAAGCACCTCTTCCATAGAGGAGCACTTGCATGAACGGCTCCCTGACCCTGTTGATCTGAAATCTGTGGATCTCAATAGCAAGACATCCTCTAGTCTGGAGGAATACAAGAATCAAGAGAACACAGGGGACATTTTGGAGGAGAAACATGATGGAAAGGACAATGAAGACCTGAGCACAGGTGACAGGGCTTATATTGGAAACAGTGATATAAACATCCCGAAAGAAGCAGTTGATGAATCTGAATCGGAGGAAGCTGTTGATGAAACTGGGTTGAAGCAAGATGTCTGTGCAACTGAGCTAAATGAAACTGTTGATCAGACCAAACTAAACGAAGCTGCCAGTGAAACTGAATCAAAGGAAGCTAATGATGAAGCCAAGCTAAAGCAAGTTGATTGTGAAACTGCATTAAAAGAAGCTGCTAGTGGAACTGAGTTAAGGGATGCTGTTATTGAACATGAACTGATTGCACAAGAAAAGGCCAAAACTAAGGAGAAGATAATGCAGCCAACGAAGACCGTGGAATTGGCACAGAAGTGGAGGAAGGATGAAGGAGGAGCAATGAAGCTACAGAGGAGGGCAGGAGCAAGCCTATCCAGGGAAAGGAAGAACAAGGTAATGGCCTTGGTGGGGAGATTTGAGACTGCCATGTCTGGCTGAGAGTGAGAACAGATGTGAGGCACTGACGGAACCATAGTAACAAACCTTCTTTTCATATTGCAGAGTAAAAGACTGCTCTGGTTCATGAAAATATGTACTCAACTGTGTAGGTGGATAGTTCATATGTTTCATTTCATTAATGTGACTGTTATTGTTCTGGAAGTGGCTGAAAATTGCCGATGAATATTGATGACACTTCTCCTATCACTCCTGTTTCTCTTTTTAATGAAGTGATACACAGCTCTCCTACATGTTCAAGAACCAAAAAGAAAAAGATAACGCTTCTACAAGTTAGGACCTGTAACTTGTCCAAGCTCTAGTGTACATGTGCTTCTGTGATAAAAAATAAAAAGATTGTTTTGGGAGGGTCTCACATGAACCCAAATTCTCTAACCAAAGGCACCCAACTACTAGCACATTTTCATCTCCAGACATTGCACCCATAAGGATCCCTACGGATTAAAGGTTTGCCCAACCCAAATATTTTGCATCTCTCAATTCCAAAATTTTCAAATTTCATTTTCTGCACTTAGCCCCAATATATGGAGTGAGTGACTTCAGTGTGCCTATACTGGTTCAGAGTTGAACATGCTATCCAGCGAAATCCATTGGTCATGCAAAATTTTTGTGCTTGATCCATTTCAATCTGGTTCACTATTGATTAATACAATCTTGACTTCGATTCATACGAGCTTCATATGTTTAATTTCTTTCTATACTCTCTGAATATCATTGTCATAAAAAATGTGTATATGTTAATTAACAGTCCAATTGGTCATGCAAACTCATGTCGCTGTTTTTTTTCCCCGATTACACAGAACAACACATGCACACTCACCCCTATGAATGCAGAACGATGTGGTTCCCCACTCGAGTTAAATCTAGTCCATCTAAACGCACTCCAATTGGCCACATTATAAGTTTGCATGATCACCTAGATATGAATTTGCATTCGCTACATCTCCAATATGTTCGCCTAAGTTTAGCAAGTGAAGGCCATGATATTAAAATTATTCTACTTCCATATTACTGATTAATTTGAAGTTCAAAAAGATGCAACATGGATATCTAAGGAAAGAAATATGGAGCTTGAAGACATACTGCAGGACAAGGCCATCTCCAATATAGATATATGCATGCATGAATTCGATTTCCCTTCATCTCTTGCAGAGCAAAATGAAACTGATTTTTAAATTCTGCTTAAACACATAACAGGCAACAACACAAACTAAAGGTAAAAAACCTGAAGATAGAACCCATTGTAGATGAATATAAACAGTCAAGATATGGATCAAATGTTTTGTACTTGCATAACCTAACAGAAAGGAGACTGGGTATTTAAACAGTTTATGTTAAATACAATAACGAAACAGTTAGAACAAATATTCACAGAGTAAGGCTTGTCAAACTATATTTTGTAACTTTTACCAGTTGTGAAAGAAAGGAAGAATGCACTGAGAGGTTGACAGGCAAAACATAACAAGCATCAAAATTTTCATAGTATCTACATGCTCGAAAGTCGAAAATACAAATGTAACAATTTATACCACACCAGTGCAATAGACTTACCGATCAACTTCTTTTTGTGCTGGAAAGCCCAGTTCTGAATCTGTTTTGCACCTTGCATCACCATGGTTCTGTGTACAGTCCTGACTCCTCACTGGTGAACACAAGCACAAAATTGATGTCTTTGTATGATCAACATTCTCTACAAGTTATGAGATCTTCACTTATTTTGATGGAGCAGTCTTAATAGTGAGCCGTGGAATTCACCAGAACAGGATCTTCAGTTGCCTATCAATAAATTATGAAAATATACACCATGCACCATAGGAGACACACCAAGCTGAGAAGATTTGGTGTCTGCTACATATGAGACTAAGAATGTCAAAACATCCTTTGAGTAGCAGAGATGAAACAGGAAGCAACACCTCAGCTGCATATATGTGCAGAAGCAAGTCAGGACTTGGATGTCAACATGAAATTTGTGGAGAAATACGCTGGGCGAGGCTCACACTTCATCATTATCGCATTTGGTGCTATAACCTCAGCTGGATGCATTTTCTGAGTCATGCAAACGTCCACATACCATTGGCTGATGGTGCATGTGACAAAGATAGGATTTCGAGCTTTCAATCCTCTTGCCTGATAGGCAAAGATCAAACTCTGTAGAAAGATTAATCCATTTGCATCCTAACTGATTAGTCATATGAATTCATTTTTCAAGTACCAATGATGCATTGACTTCAAGCAGCTGAGGATTTGTCTCTGATAGAGCCTTGAAGTCTTGCAATGAAACTGAGCGGATTTGTGGACATGTAGTGGCACTTGACCATGGACCTGATTTTTGCAGCTGCACACCATTTATTAGCTTTTGACTTAACTGTTGCTTTAGTGCCATATGATTTATTCGATCATGCTGAGATCTTGCTGATACTAGCTCCATACAAGATCCAATAAGCTGTTTCAAGAAAAAATCAACTCCATTATTCAATGAATTAGCACATTCTAATGACACACCATCTAACCCTTCTGTTTCTGCTATTCTTCCCATACGCTGTCTCAGTGATGAAGTATCACACAGCTGACCAAGGTCATAACAACAAATAGAGTCATCACTGCTAGCACTAGAGGGAAGTGTCAAAGTTCTCAAATTCCCACCAAAATGACCAATATGACCAGAACAGAAGGCAACCCCTAGTGGGGCAGTTATGGGACCTCGAACATGCTGTGCAACCGCTTCCACATATTCTCTACCAGAGACACCAGGACAGTTGCGATTTGTGGAGTCAGATAAATTTGAATATGCATTCTCCACACATGATCGTTTGGACAGTTGTTCCACAAGTTCACTTTGTTGAGGCTACGGAAATCTCTTCAGTTTGCTCAAATGCACAGCACCATTCTCCTGGAGAACATGTGCATTTCTGCTTTGTGGATAGTGGTCCTTCACATGATGATGCAGAACATCACCAATGTCAGAGACAGGGACTGTAGGACTTAAAACATGATTTGAATTCTTGGCAACTCCAATTGATTTAGGTGTACTGACTGTCGGTGGGCCACTTGCTTGGCAGGCGTTGTGGAGAATAGAGCAAATGAGGTGGTTATGAAGCTGAATGTTATCATGACCAAGTATTGTGAGGCAGAACTTGTCAAATACAGTCTTGCTCAGCTTCAAAGACAAAAACCTCTGCAGGTGCTCAAAGTACTTCTTTGCTCGCTCTGGACCAATCCTCTTAACTAGTTTTAGTTTGATTTCCCCAAGGTTAATACGAATCCTCTGCCCAGCCACTGGTGATGGTAGTGGGAGAAAATTTTGTGGTGGTGGTGGTGTCGATGATGGCATCTCTTAGAAATGGGATTCCATACAATCAGGACATGAATATAAGTTCAAAGTAATTCTGGGTTTTCAAGTTTTCTGGCTCCTCCAATCCAATATGCGGGTTTTCAAGTTTTCTGGCTCCTCCAATCCAATATGCCCCAGTACACAAATAAACCAACAGGAGAACTAACTGCAATTAATAACAAAATATGTTAGAAATGTGTAAGACAAATAAAAAAAGCAAGAGCAAAAAAATGCTGCTTGGTCCAGGTTCAATTAATTAAGAACCAACGGAACAGTACTAAAACTGGATTAAGTCCCATAACCTTGCTAATCAATTGAAAGATTAGGCTTGACATGAAAATGAAACTTTAGGACCTCACTTTCAAGCAAAAAAGCCTAACAAACAACAACATTAAATCCACAGAGAGCAAATGAAGGTACACAAGAAGATAAGTAATGCATGAATTGGAGGTTGTCATTATGGAGTTCTGCAACAATAATGCTGGAGGTTTAGCAATAGGCTTAATGCTGGATGAAATTCCATAGTATTTGCTTTCATCAGCGTCCCAGCATTGAGCTAATGTGTGCAGAGGCTGGAGCTTCCTTCCACATTCAGACCGTGCCCTGATGCTACAAGCTGATGCAACATCTAAAGGTGCAGACCATGCAGAGTAGCAGGTCGAGGAGAAAAACTCATGTCACCAAAATTGGATCAGTTGTTAGCTGAAGAAACAATAAGCTAGAAGGCTCTAGCGCAATAAAGACCATAGGAAGCTTCTTCAATCCAGTTCTGCAACCCTAACCACCTTTTTATGCATAAACCCAAAGGAAGTCTTCTGAGCTCTTCCGGCACAGCAAAACCGAACAGCCAGTGCCAAAATCGATAATTTAATGAGAACCTACAAAGTAAACGTGTGCAGTGCAGAGATCCCACAATCGTGGGACCGCACAGTCAGAGGCAAGACCATAGTAAGCCACAGCAGCAGCCAGCAGGATTCGAAACAAAAATCACAAGCAAAGAAAGGCAACGCGCCCCCAAGCACGGAGCTCCCCTGATTCTAAATTCCGATGAAAGCACGACGAGCCAAGCTAGGGTTTTGCCCCGATCACCACCAGAACGAGCTCGCTCCATTTCCCAACACAAAATTCAGTTGGATGCGGGGCGAAAAAAGAAGACCCAAATTCCCAAACGCGTAGCAAACTTGGGCACGGCAACAGTGCGCAATTCAAAACTGATTCCCCTGCTCGGGGCGCACCCAGGCTCCCCTGATCCGACCCGCGCCACCCCGAATTCCGGCAGGGGCCAGGGTTTCGCGCCAAATTCCAAACTCCCGGCGAGGCGGACGGAGGCGACGGATGCAGCGGAGCGCCCGTAGGAGCAGCGCGAGACGAGCACCATTGGGGCGGGCCCGGCCCCTGGGCTAATGCCGCCCCCGCAACGCGCGCGCACATGGGGGCTGGGCAATCGCGGTCCGAGACAAGTGAGCAGTTGGTTCGGGGAGTGGAGGAAGCTCAGCTCACCTTGCTGCTGGTGCTCGCGCGAGATGAGGAGGCGAGGAGGACGGAGGAACGATCGGTGGAAGGGACAAAGCGCTGCTGGGCTGGGCTCCCAGCTGCTGACGGAGGAGCTGTTGCTCGTGGCCGAGCGTCTCGCTGATAGCTAGTACTCGTAGCTCGTAGCTACGCGATGTGATTTTGGTCTTCGTTCTGCTTGCTTGCCTCGGCCTCGGTGGGCGGTGCGAGGCCAGGGTGATTGCTCTCAGGCCTTGAGCTCGGTGGTGGCGTTGGTGTTCTTTCCTTGTCCTAGCTCCTCTCTCTGGCCCGGATGGTCTGAGCTGATGCTGATGCACACCTGCGCTAATCACTAGTATCCTGCTGTAGGGTCTTTTGCGATTTCTATCTGGTATTTGAAATGGACACGGAGAGAAACAGTGTCTTGGTTGGGAGATGTTTGATAAATAAATGAAAGATTGGCACTAGGGTCTATTACAGGCGACATTGCATTGTTCCAAATAGCATGTGCTAGAGTCTTTGACATTCAAATATCGGCTACCTTTCTTACCAATGGACTGGTAGGTTAGCACTTTGCCACTTTAGCGGATAAAGCACTGAATCTGTGACGAGAATTTTCTCTCCGTTGATATTATTATAGATAGTCTATAAAACCACGAGATCGAATACATGATCAAGTAGAGTATGTGAAGTTCTGGCGGTCGCTGACAGGATAGTGTTACTCGATCCTGTTAGCAACCTCTTAAAGCCCTCTAGGCGAGTGGCCTCCTCTTCTCCATCTCTTGGTCTACCATCATTCTTTCTACTAATGCAACACTATCTCTTGCAGCTAAACAGGATTCTTTCTACTAATGCAACACTATCTCTTGCAGCTAAACAGGAGAGCATCATAGCCATTTCTAGATCCTTACACAGATGGTCTGCATATAGTATGAGTCAGGAATAGATATTGAACAACAGGCTATAATTGAAACAAGAATAACCATCATCTATTCATTTGAAAGGCATGAACTATGGCATTGAGACGTATGATGGCTAGAGGGGATGGTGAATAGCCTATTAAAAATTATCTATAAAATCACAACACTAGAGCAAAGAGATTAGAATAATAAATGACCCTAATAGCAACTACTTTGCCTAACCTAATTCACACAAATGCAAGCCTTCTAAACAAATCTAGTAGCAAGGTGATCTACCACTAAAGCACTTTAAGCACACAAGAGGCTAGCAACTACTTTAGTTGAGCTAAACTAGCTACTTCTACCAACTAAAGCTACAACTAAAATTAGAGAGCTACTACTACCGGCAACAACTACACAAGCAATAGTATGGAAGTAATGCACAAGTGTGTAGAGTTTGCAAACCAATTGGGGCAAAGAGATGACACAAGATATATCCCCAAGGTTCGGTTGCTTACCGGCAACCTATGTCCTTATTGAGGCTAGTCCCTAGGTGATCGATTCACGCGCTAACAAGCCTCTCAAGCTTGACCCTTAGCTTGGGTGCTGCAGAATCCAATCAACAAAGAGCTCTCCAACTAGCCTCGAGCAACCCACTAGAGTAACCCTTTGTGAAAGTGCATCAAACCCTTTAGTAGGTTTTGGATGATTGAATGACAACGTGATTAAAGGTCTAACCTATTTGCTAAGTGTTGGATAGGAAATGAGTTATCTCACAGGTACTTGATGAAAGCCAAAATGATGTGTTGTTGTATATACAATCCAGCTCAAACACAAGACAACAATGAAAATATAATTCATGTAAGGCTTATTCAGTGTGGGATTTCTATGGTTCATGTGAAAGCGCACGTTGAAGAATTCATTAATGAGACATGAGGAATTGCACATGGAATGATCTCACATTCTAAAGTTTGCTACATTGAAAGACATTTATACAAATGATCTTAATGGATGATTCAACACAAGGTGTAACTCGATGGCAAGGAAATGCTTCGAGGTACTAGGCAAGGGTGAAGGGCAAGCGACGGCTTGGCAACCGAGGAACCTAGCTAGGGTGAAGAAGAAAGTACTTGCATTTAGTTGAGGTATCAATCAAACCATGATGGTCACATTGAAGCGAAGAATCAAATTTTGGATGAATTATTGAAGTGACTTGATACATTTGAAGTCAACTCACATTTGTTGTTTGGAATCAAGTCACATGCTCAAGATGGCTTTGCTCAAGGAGAAAATCAAAGTTAACATGATTGATGTTGATATTTCTTAACGACTATTGGAGGATTCAAGCGTACAAAACTATCGCGTAGCACTTCGCTTCGGTGAGCAACCGAGTGTGTAAATTATATTTATCCCATGGGAAGATGGAAGGCTAGAATTTATCTTTGGGCTAGAGGTTACTAAGGAAGGACTAAGTTGATCCTAGGTAGGTGAGCGATAGTGAAGGGTGAATGTGAGCTACCTAAACTAACTACTAAATACAAGCTACACTAGAGATAGCTAGGTGGGAGAGCGGCGATTTATCTTTCTAGTAACTAAGGTAAACAAATGACTAGAAGAAATGCGATAGTACTTGAGGGCACAACCTGAGTCTACCAACTAGGAGAGTTAAATAGACAAGGTGCTGCCATGAGCCCTATGATTTAATAACTAGACCTATCATGATGGAATACAGAGGATGGACAAGGCTGTCACCACTTGCCACCTACCACAATCTATCCGGAGGCCTAGCTGTATCCATAGGTAATCTATAGCCTAAGCACCACGCTTAATCTACAGGCTTACTACTTCAATCCGAGCTCCGATGAAATGAGATCAAAGCACCCTAACTAGACGGTGGAAGCGGTACTAACGAATAGCTACTAATTAAGAGATAACCTATGCTACTAATGCTAAACAATAAGCACCTAAGCTCACTAATGATGAACACTAATGACTAAGTACTTAAGTAAAGCAAGCAATAATACTAGAACAAAGTACCAAAATAAGTACTAAATAAAGTAAATACTGAAATGAAAGAATTACAAAAGAGCTGTACTAGACCCAGAAGACTCTTCTGGACTTCAAGAGAAGCTCCCCTCTTGCTCTACTCCACTACTAGACTACTACTCTATAGCTAATGCTAAGCTAGAAAGCTAAGAGAAGCTAGGAGAGCTTGAAAATGAATGGGCGTCTTTCCACCGAGCTCCACACTCTCTATTTATAGTGTAGAGAGGCATAGGGGGGGTACTTGTAGGCAGCAGGGAGGTCGGTGGCCACAGGGGGACACCGGGCGGCGGCATACGGGCGCCGCCTAGCCCTTGGATGCACCGCCTTTGCATCCAAGGGTGTTGGTTGCTCCTCCAAGTCGGTTTGTGAAGCCAGCTGACGAGATTCTAACATATAGGTATGTTAAGCCTCGGGTCCAATGGTCTTGGAATGAAGAACACCCCAGTGACCCCTTCAGGATCGCACAGGGGGCTCGAGGCTATGCCCATCCAGACGCGCTCACCGCACCCTCCGGCAAAGAGACTCGGCCAAGCCTAACTCGACCATGACTTCCACCTAGGGCTC